CAGCCTAGGCCATTCTATGATTCTATGTTATTAATCTGCAGACTTAATGCTAGAAGTAATAATGGTAGTGCAGAATTCAGAAGAAAACTGACTACGGAGAGTAGTTCTTAAAACTCATGCCTAGACCAACAGCAAAATACCCTAAAATAATCTACTTTTGTGGCACCTATTTGTGTTTTCTTCTAACCTGAAAAGCCTTTATTAATTAATTTGTTACACTATATATACAATATGACCATAATTTTGCATTTCAAATTACCTCAGCAGTTTCCAGCCCATCAAATGTCATACAGATATCAAGGTCACTTTGTTTGAAGCCAAGGCCATTTTTTGAGGAGCCAAACAAATTCAGCTTGGTTCCTGTAAGAGATATGATGGGTTTTAACTACGTATCAACACAGAATCTCAAATTGTTATAGCTTCAAACCATTGCATGTCTTTTTATACAGGTATTAAAGCATTACTATTCTTCTACACTATATCAAAACTTATTTGCTTATCAGCTTTGCTTGAGGAAAGAATCTCTACTTTTACTGGATCTGAAAGATCCAGAAACAAGTTAGATCTTCCAATAATTAATACAATTTTCCAATAATCAAATAATCAGTATGCAGGTCCAAGCTGAAGTCTGATAAAAAATGTAGTACTGCTCTCAGCAAATATTTTTAAGGGACATATCCGTCCACATACCTGGCTCCAGCCAATAAAATCTTTTTAATTTTAAAGGACTATGAACCAAAGTCCAGGTGCTACAGTTAAGAGCTCCAAAAAGAAAAACAAAAAATTCAAATAGCTAGGTTCTGTAGAGAGGTCAGATGTTCTGCCTGTATTTTAAAATATTCTCAGACCAGTAAGTTTCAAGAACTACAAAAAGTCTCTTGTTTCTAAGAGCAGATACAACAGCAAGAAGTCTGGCTAATGAATAAAACTAAAGCAACAATTATAAAATTGTTCCGTTACTGCTTTGATTGTTGTCTTCCTGATTTGTCATTGTTCCGTCCTACTCAAGTGCTGTATATATGACTAAGTCAAAAAAGACTTAAACCAAAGCCGTAAAATTAAAAGTTAAACCAGAAATGATGTAATGCAGTATAGCAATGCTGATCAACAATATAGATTAAATGCTCAAAACTGAAGCATTTATTATGCCAACATGATATATTTTCTTGGAGAACACTCAGGTATAAGCACCTCAAAGCATAAATATAACGCTAAAACTGCCTAATTACCTGGGAAATCATGTCTAATGAAGTTTTCCAAGTTTTGTCTTATATATTCACGTGCCTGATCCTCTACAATATTTGGAGCAAAATCATCTTAAAAAAAACACAAAACAACAAAAGACAACAATGTAGGCAAACTGTTCTTTAGAAGGAGTCAACAGCAAAGATGTAGATGAAAAAAGTGAGGGGTTTACAGCAGGGCAAGATGAGGAGAGAAAAAAAGCAAGAGAAGATTCACATTTGAAGGAAAGAAAGCAAGGATGAAGTAGAAGAGAAATACCTGTTCAAAGAAAAACATTAATTAGACAAATAATGCAGTTTGTCTCGTCAGAAATGGCGAGAGAGAAAGGAAGAAAGTTGGGTCACTCTGAAAAGAACAAAAGTGGAGAAATGTTACAAAACAGTTTTTTGACTCTTTTTTTCTAGAACACTGAAGTCTTTATTCATTAAAAACTACAAGTTAAAGAACAGTTATGAAATTCAAAGTAGACAGAAATGTAAAAGCATCAGTTAAAAAACCCACCCAAAATTAAACTTCTACAGATTATACTACAATGCCTAAAGGAGTAATCAGGCAGCCAGCACGCAGAAGATAAATCTAAACATTTGGTATTTCACTCAATAGAAACTACTTAGCAATCCTATTAAAGCCCTTACAAATCTTAGAATTCTGTCTAAGAGAATTAGATGCAGTGTAGTAAATAAACCAGTTCCCTTTAAAACACTGTTAGCCTGTGGTTATTTCATGTTTTGCAATTCTTCTTCTACCGCACAAAAATATTAAAAAGAAAGAAACTTACGGTAACACTGGACACAAATTTGATCTAGAATAACTGAAAATCTGTGTGTCAATGCTGGCAGTGGGTCGAGCTCAATTTTCTTGAAGTCTTCTGGGCAATCCCTCTTTAAATGACCTTCCCGTTTGCACAAGCTACATACTATTGTGGGAGACTGCAGGAACAGAAAACAAGATTCGTTTGAAAAACTACAATCATATTAATGAATAGGAGCAAAACTGTCACATAACTGACAACAGAACATAAGCAGCATGTTTATGTTCTGACATAGCTTACTTACCTTGCCCTTAGTAAAAGCTGGTTTGCTGAATTCATAAAAGAGTTCAGATTCTAAACACTGTTCAATTGTTCTGTTCTCTTCAAAAAGGTTTCCCTTTTCAGTAAGATCCTCTTGACTCAAATTGATCCTCAGAGGTCCATCCACATGTTCTTCTAAATGTCTGTTCTCATATTTATCAATGATAGAAAAATCTTCCTCTTCCTCTGACAGTGCATCATCCTCTCCAGATCCAGTGCATGTGTTATCGAGTTCATCTCCAGCTCCTGTGATAACACCACACTCTCTCTGGTTTAGAATACTTGGTTCTTCCTCCTCTTCCTCCTCATCATCCGAGTTAATAATTTTGGCTATTTGATTCTGTGCTGAATGTATGATTTTTAGGGGGGATTCATCCAGTTCATCAGTACCTTCAGTGCTCTCCTCATCAACGTCAATCTTGTTATTCATTACACCACTGCACTCTAAGCCAAACTCATCACTCTCTGTAAGTGCAGCATTTTGAAAACCTTCTAAGTCTGAAGTGCTACATGTCTCCATATCATGTTCATTCACTGTAACAGGGAGACCTCCACTATCACTGTCTTCATCTATTCCCTCCTCAGTAGTCAAGGTATTATTCCATCTTCTTTTTTGTTGTTCATGTTCTTCCTCTTCCTCCTCTTCTTCCCCTTCATTTCCATTCTCTGTCTCTTCACAACTTGGTTTAAAATCCTCATTATCTCCAGAAATAACCTCCTCAATTATACAGTCTGAATCTTCATGGACAATTCTCAAATGACTTATATCAGCCATTTCTTCTTCTGTGAAGCTTTCTGAGGCATCATATTGTTTCGAAGGATCAATTCCATGTGCTGGGAGTATACCTGTAGTCTCTGTCATGCAATCTTCCACTACTGCTATGTTTGGTTTACCATCCAGGTTGTGCAACTCAGAATTTTCATGCTTTGTAGCATCTTTTCTATGGCCTAGCATTTGGGATTTCTCCTCACTGGCATCTGGAAAGGATTTTTTGCTCAGCTTTGCACTTTTTTTGTGAGGCAAGGCAAAATACTTGTAAGTTGCTCTCAGGCAGTGAAGAATATATTCATACACTAGCTGGCTGTTCAGAGTTCTTGCCACATTCCTTTTGACTGAATATGGGTCTAGCAGAAAGAAAAAGTGAGCCGGCAGTGCAGGAGTTAACTTTTTTTAAAAATAGTAATACACTTACATGCTTACAAAATCTGAATGTACTACTGTTAGTTACTCTAAAACATTATGTAGGGACATAGGATCTATGAATTGTGCTAAAGACAATTTTAACATCCCTTTAATGACTTTGAATAAAGTTGAAACAATAACCCAAGAGAAATATTACCTAAATTGATTTTTTTCAAAACATATTCTACTATATTATTGGGAGTCACAGTCCAACACTGAAAAATTCTAAGTTATTACACACAGTGTGAATAGCCACAACAGCATCCTAGAAAATTAGAGTAACAATTCTTTGAAGTTTTCTAGTATATATACCTTCCACGGCAATGCGCTTTTTAGGCCAGTCCTTTGATTCACGAGACAGTGTTTCTTTGAGTCGTATGCTAATAACCAAATCAGCCATATTGAACTCCAAGGCGTAGAAACGAAGCAGTTCTACCCAGAGCTGGCCAGCAGATGCTGAAGACTGCTGTCCTGAATCAAAAACTAAGGGAACCTGTGAATTACAGAAGAAAAGCTTAAACAGTGTTTAATGTACAGATGTTTAGCTGTTACACTTCCTTGATTTTGATCTATAATGTAATATTACAACATTTATAGTTGCTTTTATAGTCTTGCAATTGCAATAAAAACTTCATTAAAAAAATGGGAAAATGTAATATAAACTCAGATTATAAAACTTCAAAATGAAATGTTACAACAATGATAAAGAATAGCATCAGCAATTAATAAGAATTTTTTATTCAACTGTTTATGATATAATTAATTCCTGAGAAAATATCGAAAGTATTCTAATTGGACAGAACGGATTACATAGTAGCCTAATTTTTAGCAAAGCCTAAATTATATTGTTAAATGTCATAACATTACATGCAGTTACAATTACATACAGTAATACTGTTTCTTGCAAAGTTGGTATAAAATAAGTAATTTGCAAGAACAGTTAAAAGCTAAGAGGAAATATTTTTCATATGCTTATTCTAATTCTGAGATAACATTACTTCAACCCTATAAGCTAAAGAGTTTAAAGTAACACCTCATTTCCTGTTACTTTCTTAGCACCAAGAGGTAAGTGTAGTAAGCCTTGTTATCAAATAGTCATGTAATATATTGTGGTTTTGCAACATAAACACAAAACAAAAATAGAAGATGGTTCTTTTTTTCGAGAAGGTCAATGACTGCTAGACTACCAGAAGCAAATTAAATAGTTCAGACCTTGCCCCTTCTAGGTGAAGTTTCTTGTGGCAAGTCAGATTCATCAGTGGGGTTATGCTCCCAAACCACAGCATCATTCTCAATTTCTTTCAGATGAAAATTAGTTAATTTGTTCAATGAGAATCCTCCAATCTAAAGGAAACAGAAAAAGAAACATACTGCTAAACATCATGCGAACTTTAAATCTTGCCCTCTCCATGGTAGTAAGCCAAGTTAAAACAGAACAAGTTTTAAAATAGACCTGTTCCAGGCCTATAATATGCCACAACCTGCCCTTCTCTCTACACTTCTTTACAAAAAGCTCTCAAGAGTTCAGGGCTTTTGGAAGGGTATACATGTGTCATAGAACCTTGTCTTTGCATATTGCACAAGCATAAAAATGTTTTTTTAATCACACAGATATATACTATAGGACAGCCTCCCATTCACTGCAGAGAACAGTCACTCAAGTATTGAAGGAATTTTTTAACTGCAAGGCCTGTGTAGTTGCTTATGGGAACTGAAACATGCACACTAAATATAACAGGCAAGTGCAAATAAAAAATGAGTGACATGAACATAACACCTGAATGGTATCCTGCAAAACTGGATTCTGGATTTGCGTCCACAATACAACTTGTGATATTAAGATGCATTTCAGCTTCTAAACACAAGAAATAAATGCTCTAAACCCCTAGTTTTATCCCATGGGAAGATATCACACTAGCGTTCTCTGCAACTGTGGTCTACATTTTGAAAAATTTGATGTCAAAACCCAAGACGCTGTTTTGGGATGTAGCTATGTGAACTCAAGAGATGTCAAGTGTCTGGAAGAAAGGATGAAGAAATGAGGATGCTGATTGTTCTGAAGTGCATTATTCAATGCCCAGCTCTTCTTACTCACAAAAGGGGCAAGAGAGCACTTAATTCTATGTCTAGGACTGTGAATTGCTTCCTTACAGTCAAGCATACAAAGGTTAGGTGTAGTCTGGCTGAATTCATATTCTTTCTGAATTTCTGCAGAGATGGCTCGTGGCCTGCTCAGAATTACAAGAAGCTGACAGGTTACACACCATCAGAAGTGACTGGTCCTCCCACTCATACTATTCAGTGTACTAATAGACATACCCATGATCCCAAGTAGACAGGTAGGAAAGGCTCTTTCCTCTGTTGTAGAAAGAAAATAACCATTAAAGCGAACACATAAGGTGATAAGCCTCCCTCTTCAGGACGATCAATACAGCACAACTGTAAAAATAAGTTGTGCAGTCATTATTGTTTCAAGTGATACGAAAAGTATTTCATCAATGACTACTTAGAAGTCTGTCGCACTAAATAGTGACAGAAACTCAGACATCTTTAAGCTCTTATGAGATGGACTTTGTTGTCAAGGCCTGCATATTTACTGGAGTCATTATTACCATAATATTTTCAGCACAAGAGCCACAGGATGCAGACTGGCAAAACAGACAGCATACAGCACATCTCCAAAAATGATGACTAACTTCATGTAGATATAGTAAAAGTCAAAAGTTCTACAATCTTTTTCTTAAATCATTTTTTAATTGGAGGCACACAAAGTTGTGGAACAACTTATTTTACTTCACAAGAAAGTTTTTATCTACATATGGAAACAAGAAGCTTTTTCCTTTCATTTTTTCATGAAGGATTAAGCTTATGGGAATCTGGTAATTCCTTTTCATATACATTCCTCTGACTTGTTTGGTAATAAAGCAGAATATTTACAGCCTGCATGCCACTGGCTGAAGCATGAAACTTCACTTTTGACATGTAGTGGAAAATTACAACACAGAAACGATAGTTGTATAATAAAAGTTACTATTTATTAAAAAAACATGTAAATATCCTTTTTCCAACAACTGTTTTCTAAACTATGCCTTCAATCTTACCAGCATAATGTTAATGTTCATTCAATACTTATACACAGATGCAGGAATACAAATGAACCTTACCTTTGCCCAGTACCTGAAGGCAATCACTAAAGGTACTACAGTAGGTTCCAGTTTTCCAAGTGTAGCCAAAAGATTTGTTGTCAGACAAGCATTCTCATTCCCCGCACTCACTTTACAAATAAGGCCACTAAAACCCAAAAAAAAAAAAAGAAAGAAAGTAAAAGATCTTGGAAGTTTTGTAAGAATAGACATAGGTCAGGTAACATCTCACAGAAGAGTGTAACAGAAGGCTGTAAGGGAAGATCAGTAGCCTCTCAAAGACACTATATCTACATTAAAAGAAGTACAGAATGACAATCTGATTTATGGTTAGGTTGAAAATATATGCATTACAATTTCCTGTAAAAGTGTTTTCAAATACAATTAAAATTTAAGTATTTGATTCTAAGGACACTAATTCACTGAACTAGAAAAAAATACAAATTTCCTTTATGAACCAAAACCACCTTCCCGTACCACGCTCAGAAGAAAACAGTTTCTATGCTGTTTGCGCAGCACAATAAATATTTTCAGTGAAATATCAAGGAAGCAGTAAATAATTGGTAATATCTCAGCATCCGTAGCTCATTATAGAATGTTTCATGAATCTTAAGTGATATCCATTAAATGGGCAAAATAAACCGCCTTTCACTTGTTCTCAAAATACTAGTGAAGCTAAGCAAGGTGATCTTGCCCTTATAGAAATCTATAATTTAATATTGTATTTACATTATCTATAAGGAAAAGTTTCTGCTTAAGCAGCTATCCCAAATGGAAGGGTAAGTAAGGGTACATGCTGGAAGCCATAACGGTTGAAGGGATTGGGAAATACACAGCTGAGGACAGAACAACCCTTACCCTCTGATTCTAGGCTAGGAATGACTTGCCCATGAGTGTTAGTTTGTGTTTCAAGATCCATGGAACTGTAATAATTTAGTACAGAAACGTCATTTTTCAGATGTTGGTACATATAATTTACATTGCTATATACTATTAGAACACACAAAGTGACAACCAAGACCTTTGCTTTTCTTTGCACACCACCACTGGTATTCTAGCATGGAAATCTGCATCCACTTCCGTAAAAGACTCTAGGTGGGAGAAAGAAAAAGAAGACCTGTTAAGCCTGGTGTTGACAAAAAAAAATATGTTGAACTGGATGCAATTTGACAAGTACAGCTAGAATCCTGACTTCTTAATGAAATTAACTCATCACATCTGATAGATTAATCCTCTCATTATTTTAAAGCCATTTTTTGTATGTGATGGGAAGAGTATAGTCTAATTGATAAGCACTGTTAAGAAAATACTCAGGAAGAAAGGAACTTTTCAAAATTCAAATACTTCACAGGTATAATTAAGTAGGTATATCTTAGTTAAGTGCTGGCTTCAGTAATCCAGGCATATGGATAGACCAATGACATCTGTAAAACAATGTTAGTGTGAAAGATTAAAAAATCAAGAGCATTATGTCAGTAACGGCAATCTAGAAACGGTCTAAGTATAAAACAGGGTTACTAACATGATGTCTTATTGCTATGCCTAATTTTTAATTTCTTCTTATTCTTCTTTATTTAGGTTTCCAAATATAATTCAACTATATTTCTATTTTAACACTAAAACAATATAGATGCCACTACAGTCCTTTCTCCAAATGGAGATTATTGATCCAAAATGGGTTTATTTTTTGACACTTCATTGTTTCAATGGGCCAAGTAGAGAGGAAGCTATGACATAATTTTAGACATGCAACTCAAAAATTTCTTGATGTTACCCAGCCATTTGGACACTTGATTTCTTCAAAAGAATATCTTGCTTTTGCCAATGGGGTACCTCAAATGCCTGTCCCTGCACCTTCTGACTTGCAGAAGGCTTTACACAAACACATTAGAGACATTTCAAAACACATTAGAGAATCTAACTTCTTCAGGGATCTGGGTCTTCATTCCTTCAGGCTGGCTGAACAACAAACCCATTCTCAAGGACTGTAATGGTCATTGACCAGACAGGAAGATGCACATACAACTGGGGTGAGGGTGGCAATGAGAATAATCTAAGTCAGTAAATACATGGATGTTTAAAATACATGTTTGGAACTATATGGTCTGATTTCCCGTGGGCATAAAGCAAGGCAAGGAAGTATTAAAGCTACTTTTTGCAATCTGCATTTAAAGACAGTTTCTTTTCCATCTTTTCGGGGGGTTTTTTTGCCTGCATATGCTTAAATTGGTTTAATAAGTGCACTTATTTAAAAATCTTGAACTTCACTCACGTGTATTAATGCACAGTTGCATTAATTACCTGAGAAAAACATGCATCTGTATGCAGTCACTTGCACACAGCCTGTACTAATAGGAATGTACACATAATTGGAAAAGAGTCCAGACTCTGAAAGTACATCGCCAAGTTTCTGATCACGTTAGAACAGCTTAGGCTACCTTCTGTACTATACGCGGCTAATAGAGCAGTCTGTGGAAAGAAAGGCAGCAGAGTCTACCTCCTACTATGAATCTCTCATGGCAACACAAATAATGGGATTTCAATAATCATAAAACTGAATCCAAAGGTAATTCTACCAGTGTGTTATTTCCTGCAGTATTTTTCAGTCTCACATCTTTCTAAAACAAGAGTAGCATCCTCCTGGAAAAGCTGGCAGCTCACAGCTTGGATGGGTGCACCCTTCGCTGGGTTAAAAACCATTTGGATGCCAGGCCCAGAGCGTGGTGGTGACTGGTGCTGCATCCAGTTGGTGTCTGGTCACCAGTGGTGTCCCCCAGGGATCAGTACTGGGCCCAGTCCTGTTCAATACCTTTATTGATGACCTGGATGAGGGGATTGAGTCTACCCTTAGTAAGTTCGCAGATGACACCAAGCTATGGGGTAGTGCCGATCTGCCGGAGGGTAGGAAGGCACTGCAG